ATATACAGTGGGGCAAAAAAGTATTTAGTCAGTAACCAATTTTGCCAGTTCTCCCACAAAGATGAGAGAGGCCTGTAATTGGCATCATAGGTAGACCTCAACTATGAGAGACAAAATGAGAAAAAAAAATCCACACAATCACATTGGTTGATTTGGAGAGAATTTATTTTCAAATTATGGTGGAAAATAAGTATTTGGTCACCTACAAACAAGCAAGATTTCTGGCTCTCACAGACCTGTACCTTCTTCTTTAAGAGGCTCCTCTGTCCTGCACTCATTACCTGTATCAATGGCACCTGTTTGAACTTGTTATCAGTATAAAAGACACCTGTCCACAACCTCAAACAGTCACACTCCAAACTCCACTATGGTGAAGACCAAAGAGCTGTCGGTGGACACCAGAAACAAAATTGTAGACCTGCACCAGGCTGGGAAGACTGAATCTGCAATAGGCAAGCAGCTTGGTGTGAACAAATCAACTGTGGGAGCAATAATTAGAAAATGGAAGACAAACAAGACCACTGATAATCTCCCTCGATCTGGGGCTCCACGCAAGATCTCACCCCGTGGGGTCAAAATGATCACAAGAACGGTGAGCAAAAATCCCAGGACCACACGGGGGGACATAGTGAATGACCTGCAGAGAGCTGAGACCAACGTAACAAAGGCTACCATCAGTAACACACTACGCCGCCAGGGACTCAGATCCTGCAGTGCCAGACGTGTCCCCCTGCTTAAGCCAGTACATGTCCGGGCCCGTCTGAAGTTTGCTAGAGAGCATTTGGATGATCCAGAAGAGGATTGGGAGAATGTCATATGGTCAGATGAAACCAAAATAGAACAGTTTGGTAGAAACACAACTAGTCATGTTTGGAGGAGAGAGAATGCTGTGTTGCATCCAAAGAACACCATACCTACTTTGAAGCATGGGGGTGGCAACATCATGCTTTGGGGCTGTTTCTCCGCAAAGGGACCAGGACGACTGATCCATGTACAGGACAGAATGAATGGGGCCATGTATCGTGAGATTTGGAGTGCAATTTGGAGTGCAAACCTCCTTCCATCAGCAAGGGCATTGAAGATGAAACGTGGCTGGGTCTTCCCACATGACAATGATCCCAAACATACCACCCGGGCAACGAAGGAGTGGCTTCGTAAGAAGCATTTTAAGGTCCTGGAGTGGCCTAGCCAGTCTCCAGATCTCAACCCCATAGAAAACCTTTGGAGGGAGTTGAAAGTCCGTGTTGCCCAGCGACAGCCCCAAAACATCACTGCTCTAGAGGAGATCTGCATGGAGGAATGGGCCAACATACCAGCAACAGTGTGTGCCAACCTTGTGAAGACTTACAGGAAACGTTTGACCTCTGTCATTGCCAACAAAGGATATATAACAAAGTATTGAGATGAACTTTTGATATTGACCAAATACTTATTTTCCACCATAATTTACAAATAAATTCTTTCCAAATCAGCCAATGTGATTGTCTGGATTTTTAGGTCTACCTATGATGCCAATTACAATACTTTTTTGCCCCACTGTGTATATATATATATATATATATATATATATATATATAAATTTGATTTTGCAGTTCCGGGTAGGGGAAGGGTGGCACCCAGTGATCGCCGAGTATCTCCTGTGGGGAGAAACCGGTGTATAAACCACACATACCTCTCCCCTGTCAGTTCCTGTGCACACTGCTTTGAATGGCTGTGCAAAGCACAGCCATACAAAGCAGTGTGCTTACAGTAGAAAGCACTCACACAGCACACAGTTAACCCTCTCATCTCCCCACGTTAACCCCTTCCTGCCCAGTGCCATTAGTACAGTGTCAGTGCTTTTTATTAGCACTGATCACTGTATTGGTATCACTGGGGATGTCAGTGGCAGTTAGTCAGTCCCCCCCCCAGTATCAGAATGCCTGCCGCAGTCCTGCTATGAGTTGCTGAACGCCACCATTACTAGTATGAAAATAAAGTTAAAATTCCGCCATTTGTAGATACTATAAAAACTTTGTAAACCAATTAAATTTACACTTATTGGGATTATTTTTTAGCAAAGACATGTAGCAGAATACATTTTAGCCTAAAATTTATGATGAAAATTGTTTTAAATTTTTTTACTGGACATTTTTTTTTGTTCATAGAGCAAAAAATAAAAAACACACAGGCCATCAAATACCACCAAAAGAAAGCTATTTGTGGAAAAAATAGGACATAAATTTAATTTGGGTGCATTGTTGCATGACCGCGCAATTGTCAGTTCAAGTAATGCAGTGCCGTATCGCAAAAAATGGTCTGGTCAGGAAGGGGGGTAAATCCTCTGGAGGGCACATGGTTAATACTGTGTATTGCCCACTTTAGCATCAATGGCAGTGTGCAATCTTTTGTAATAGTTGTCTATGAGGCCTTGAATTCTTGCAAGTGGAATAGCTGCCCATTCATCTTGGCAAAATGCCTCCAGGTCATGCTAAGTCTTTGTTCGCCTTGCATGAACTGCATATTTGAGATTTCCCCCACAATAGCTCGATGAAATTAAGGTCAGGAGACTGATGGCCACTCCAAAACCTTCACCTTTTTCTGCTGTAACCACTAGAGGGTCAACTTGGCCTTGTGTTTAGGGTCATTGTCATGCCGGAAAGTCGAATTGCATGTTATGACCAGCTTTCATGCAGAAGAATGCAAAATTGTCTGCCAGTAGTTTCTGATAACATGATGCATTCATCTTGCTATCAATTTCCACAAGATTCCCTGTGCCTTTAAAGCTCACCTCCCCCCCAAAAGGGAGGATGGTTTTCTTGTTGCTATAGGTCTTCTTGACCCCTCTCCAAACATAGCACTTACAGTTGTGATCATAAAGCTCTTTTTTGGTCTTGTCATTACAGTGTGTCAGAAGCTGTGAAGTGTGTCAAGATGTTGTCTGGATTTTTTGTAGCAGTGGCGCAGTAAAGGCTTCTTTCTGGCAACTCGACTATGCAGCTCATTTTTGTTCAAATATCGTCACATTGTGCTACTTGAAAACAAACGCACAGTATTCTTCCAGAGTGGATTTTTCTTTGTATCCCAAACAGGTTTTCTGGCAGTTGTGACTGCAATCTTTCTTGGTCTACCTGACCTTGGCTTGGTATCAAGAGATCTCTGAATTTTCTACTTCTAAATAAGTGATTAAACAGTACTGACTGGCATATTCAAGGCTTTGGGTATCTTTTTATATCCTTTTATGTCTTTATAAAGTTCCATTACCTTGTTATGCAGGTCTTTTGACTCTCCTTTTTTGCTCCCCATGGCTCAGTATCTAGCCTTCCCAGTGCATCCACATGAGAGCTAACAAACTCACTGACTATACAAAATCACTAAATGCAATTTAAAACATCACAGTTGTGAGAGGTTACCCTTTAATTGCCATTTCAACTTGTGTGTGTGTCACCTTGTGTGTCTGTACCAAGGCCAAACATTCCACGGTATGTAAACTTTTGATCAGGGCCATTTGGGCGATTTCTGTTATCATTATGATTCAAAAAGGAGCCAAACTATGTGATAATAAATGGATTCATGTACTCACTATCCTTAAATACAAGACAGTTTTTTGGCATGATCAGTCATATTTTCAACATCAATGCCAACATTTCACAATTTCTGCCAGGGTATACAAACTTTTGAGCACAACTGTACCTGGTCATAGTGCTGCTTTCACTTGTTCACTTTTAATCAACACACTTGATGTACAATAAGCAATTTAATGTACAACACAGTGCACTCCGCCTTGATTATATTAAAACCGTCAAAAAACTAACAAAATATAGGTGAAAACAGAAAATGAAGCAAAAATCATGAATTGACAAAAGACATTTTCAAAAATGTATCTGCACTTTGTGGTGGAGAGATCTGTGTGGTTTATACACCGGTTTCTCCCCACAGGAGATACTCAGCAATCACTGGGTGCCGCCCTTCCCCTACCCGGAACTGCAAAATCACCTGTGTGTGTGTGTGTGATTTTGCGCACCCATGCCGCCCTGTAGCAGTGTTTCTGCTATAGGGTGGTGCATAACTGGTTAAGAATTAAAGGTATGCAGACTTTGAACAAGGATCATTTCTCTTTCTGAGCATCCAGTATTAGTTTCCTTTCTGTCATGTTGATCCAATGGCTTCAGAATTTTTTGAAATATTGTGAAACCAGCGTGAATCTGAATAAATCTAAACATCTTGATGCTCATGTTTTTTTCCAGAAAAGTGCAACTATCAATTTAAAAAGGATGTTAATGATGGCAATCTCCATATGTCTTTCAGTAAAAGTTTCCGTTACGGTACAATCTGCCACAAACCTGGAAATTTTAACTCTGCATAAAGTGAAAAAGTCCATAAGCAGGGGTAAGCTGCAGTTCAACCAACCTGTCAAAAAAAGTAATTAAACACAACCATTATAAGCAACTAAAATTTATATTATATTTATTTCAGCAAGCTTCAGGAACATGGAAACTACAGGATATGTGCTGAAACTCCACTCATCCATGAGAAGCAGATGTAAAGATAAAATTATCAATTTTCTGACTTCAAACTCTGAGATCAGTTCATTTGCATATCAGCAGATATGTTTCAGTAACTGAGAAAAAATTTTTATTGGATATTTCAAATTTTATAGCGCTCTACCATTAGATGCTACGTAACATTTTTTTAAAACATTTGAAGCAGACCTATCAGTAACTTTACAAGCCTCTATAAATGATTTCACAATTTACAGCAACAATGTAAATTAAAGGCCTCCATTATCTGCTCCACTGAAAAAAAGCCTGCTGCTTACAGACCTCAACTGCTCAAACTGAAAGTTATGCACAGAAGTGAATGATTCATCCCATATCAAATGACTCAATAAGAATTTCATCCAGGCAAAATGAAACTTCAAGGCTGGAAGCCACTGCTGTGCTGTCTCTCTAGTGAATCCATATAAAACAACTAAAATAAGTGCACTCTCTGCACTACGATAAAGAAAAATTTGCATTTACCTTCATTGCCAGTGCTCCAATCTGATCTCCCAGCACAGCCTGGAAGGGCACACTAGATTTTCCTATCACAGACACAGAGTTAGCTTTGTCCGAAAGAAAAGCTGCGACTTCCATGCCTAGGGAAGTGGAGAGAGGAAGTGTTGAATCATATACAACTTATATTGCAGAGGATTATTCAAATGGTTACACTCTCAATAAACTAGAATTATAATTTTTCCTGGCACAGGCAGATTATTTAAGCTAACTAGTAGACTGATGCATGTTCATGCATCCTTCTTTCCGAATGACACATTCCCTTTATAACATTGTAGAATTTCCTTGTTTTATTTGAATAAAATCTATCATCTGAACAGTATTCACTGCATCGAACTCATCAGGGTGGTGTAATTTCCTACTAGCTACCTGCACATCTGCAGATTAGAGCGTCAGGAAACAAGCAAGATAAAGGTATGTAGGATTCCATATAGAAAGCCCTGGCATTTCACAGTTATATCAAATCCTAGGTATTCTTCTAACCTGCTGCTCACTGGGTTCAGTTTACACTAAAAGCAGAAGGTGAGAGGCCCATGTCGGCTTTCTTGATTACAGCCAGAAACAGATGGGTTATGGGCAATTGCCAGACACAGGTTTGGCACCCATGTACAAAAAGAATTTTTAATATATATCTTATGCGATTACAAATATAGTGATATAAATCCACAGAAAAAATGAATCAAAATTAAAACAAGGCTGCCCCCAAGACCCTTCTAATAGTCAAATATAGTCACACCCTCTGGGATTTTCCCTATAACCCTACCTCAGTCTGCGAGTTCTCCGATTTGTAGCAAGCAATGCAGAGTAACAGGAATAAAAAAGGGAGGGTGGACTGTGTTTCAAGATTTGGCAAATTACTTTATTTTAATCGTACAGTACAGGACACATGCTGAATATTCATAGACCCTGAAATGTCTCCAAGCAATGAATGAGAAGAATGGGCAACACCTAGGCCAGGGGTCTGCAACTTTTAAGACATAAAGAGCCACTTGGACCCGTTTCCGTAGGGAAAAAAAAAGACTGGGAGCCGCAAAACCATTGCAACATTTAAAACAAATCCGACACTGCATATATTGTTTCTTACCTTAATGCTATATACAGGATCGTGCAGTTAGCTTCATCCCCCATATAGTAATTCATCCCCCATAGTAATTCATCCCCCATATAGTAATTCATCCCCCCTATAGTAATTCATCCCCCATAGTAATTCATCCCCCCTATAGTAATTCATCCCCCATATAGTAATTCATCCCCCATATAGTAATTCATCCCCCATATAGTAATTCATCCCCCATATAGTAATTCATCCCCCCTATAGTAATTCATCCCCCATATAGTAATTCATCCCCCATAGTAACTTCATCCCCCATAGTAATTCATCCCCCATATAGTAATTCATCCCCCATATAGTAATTCATCCCCCATATAGTAATTCATCCCCCTATAGTAATTCATCCCCCATAGTAATTCATCCCCCATATAGTAATACATCCCCCATAGTAATTCATCCCCCATATAGTAATTCATCCCCCATAGTAATTCATCCCCCCTATAGTAATTCATCCCCCATAGTAATCATCCCCCATAGTAATTCATCCCCCATATAGTAATTCATCCCCCATATAGTAATTCATCCTCCATAGTAATTCATCCCCCATATAGTAATTCATCCCCCATAGTAATTCATCCCCCATAGTAATTCATCCCCCATATAGTAATACATCCCCCATATAGTAATTCATCCCCCATATAGTAATTCATCCTCCATATAGTAATTCATCCCCCATATAGTAATTCATCCTCCATAGTAATTCATCCCCCATATAGTAATTCATCCCCCATATAGTAATTCATCCTCCATATAGTAATTCATCCCCCATAGTAATTCATCCCCCATATAGTAATTCATCCCTCCATAGTAATTCATCCCCCATATAGTAATTCATCCCCATAGTAATTCATCCCCCATAGTAATTCATCCCCCATAGTAATTCATCCCCCATAGTAATACATCCCCATATAATAATTCATCCCCCATAGTAATTCATCCCCCCTATAGTAATTAATTCCCCATATTGTCTCAATTCACTTACCTTTGCTCCGCGCGTTCCTCTCGCTGTGTTCCCGCGCTGTGTTCCGGTCTTCAGGGCGGACTGTGAGAGGAGTTCGTCACGCTGCCCCGCCTACATCCTGGCTGCCCCGTCTACATCCTGACAGCTAATGTTCCACGCTCCGCGGGCCGGATTAAAAGAGTCCTGACTTTTGAGGCGGCCGCCCGAGAGGAGGGAAGGGAGCGGGCGCCCGGCACACAGAAGAGCCGCATGTGGCTTGCGATCCGCGGCTTGCCGACCACTGAAACCCTATTGCCTGTCACCTGGTGGGCAGTGTGCTCCAGAGCCGCAGCAAAGATGAAAAAGAGCCGCATGCGGCTCTGGAGCCGCGGGTTGCCGACACCCGACCTAGGCAAACAGAACTGTGCCAACAGACCCTATAACAAAGGTCAACAGACTCAACTTTTGAGTGCCACTGCAAGAAATTTGCTGCCAAAAGCTGCATCCACAGAAGCTTAAAAATGTCTACCTGGTATAACTTTTAAAAAAGGTATGAACAGAGAAGCAGGTGATGGCTTTACAAAGCTGGGCTACAGAGGCTTCATGTTTGAATGGCCAGGAAACACTCAACAACCTGGTGGAATCAGCACATGAAAGGGCAGGAGAGGATTTGTCCTTTGCAGTGTAAACTCAGTCAATGAGTTGTTTTATCCATCTCATGATGGTGCACTTTGAAGAAGCATGTCCCTTGCAAAGTCCTGAGGGTTGGATGACTAGGGAGTCTGTCTTCCTAATAGAAGCTATAGCTTTGAGGTAGATTTTAATGGCTCTGACATGTCCAGGCAGTGAAGAGCAATTTTTGGGTGCTTTGGAGCACGGCACAAAGAAGGAAGGACTATGTCTTCATTGAGGTGGAAGAATGATAACACCTTAGAAAGAAAAGGATGGGTATGGACACAAGATTACATTGTCTTTGTGAGGAATGTCTCTATACAACAGATAGCCACCAGCTCAAATACACACCTGAGACTGCAGGAGAGATTATCTAAACGGTATTTACCTGAAGGGTTCAAAGTGGGGTTCCTAAAGGGTACAGAGAACCAGATTAAAGTCCCTGATGCTGATTAAAAGTGTTAAGGAATAGCGAGGACACAGATTTTGAAAAAGAACAGAAAAGGCTGCAATTTGTCCTTTCAGAATGCTATGCACTAAGTTCAGGTCAAGTTTTCATTGCAGGAAGGCCAGAATACAAGCCACAGAATAGTCTCTTGGATCAAACAGCCTGCATTCACACTAGGCAAAGGAGGATATACAGGTATGATGATACATTTTCAGTAAATCTTTTTTTCTTGATTTTAGCAAGGTGGGAATGACAGACTCCGAGACACCTCTGTCCCTCAAGAGCTGGGTTTCAGCAGCCATGCCATTACAACTAGTGATTGAGAAGCAGGATGGAACAAGGGGCCCTGAGAAAGCAGGTCTGGTAAGCTTGGAAGAGGCCAGGGGTCACCTCCTAGCAGTTGGAGTATGTCTGAACAAGGTTCTTCAGTGCTAGTTTGGTGCAATTAAAATCCCTGGTTTCTTCTCTTGCACTACTTTGCAGAGCAGTCAAAGAAAAATAAGCACTGAAGGAAAATCAGATTAGTTTGAACTGAGTCCACGGAATTATCAGAACATCCAATGTCAATGCAAGAGGATCCTTGGTCCTGGATACAAACAGAAGTAATTTATGGTGGAAACCTGGAGTCCCCCACTTCTGACAAATCAGGCAGAAGATGCTGGGGAGAAGGGCCCATTCTCCTTGGTCCAGGAGGTGATTGCTGAGGTAATTTGCCTTCCAGGTGCTTATTACTGGGATGTGGAAGGGAGAGATCACTGGACAGTGTTTTTCTGTCCATGAGACTATCAGGCTTGCTTCTGCATAACCCCTTGTACCACCTTGGTGATTGATGTAGGCCACAGCTGTGGCAATGTCTGACTGCACCCTGCTGGGAGTGCCTTTGTGGAAGGGGAGTCCAGTGGTGCAGAGCCAGCCATTCTTATCATTCTGAGCTCCATCATGTGGATGAGGAGCATGGATTCCTTCACTGACCATGTTCCCTGAACAGTGAGGGATCAGAACACTCCTCCCCAACCCCAAAGGCTAGTATCTGTAATTATCACCTTCCAGTGATATGGCAGAAATGACTTCCCCATAGTCAAGGCTGGGTTGGGGATCCACCAAGCTAGAGATTTCCTTGCTTGGCTGGATATGGGTATGTAGCTCAAGAGAAGGGGCCTGCTTGTTCCATGACAACAGTATGTTGTTGTTTTTGAAAGGTGTTCAATTAATTGGGTCAATGGGAGAGCCTGAAGAGACTACCATGAGACCAAGAATTCTCAGAGAGAGGGGCGTTTATTTGACCACAAGTCCTGAGCAGTTCAGAGAGAGAGAGAACATTTTTCTAATAGAGAGAGCAGTTTCTTCTCTGGAAGGAAGACTTTGCTTGGACTGTGTCTAGAATGAGGCCAACGTATTTCATATGATGAGAAGGTTGGAGAACAGATTTTGGAAGGTGATCATCCTTCAGAAGAGGGTCATCTAAATAACTTGTGATCTGGATGCTCTGAGCTTCTAGCAGATTTCATACAGTGGTGGAACTCCCTGTCCTTCCTTGATGACAAATGTGCTTATAGACCTTTTCTGTTGTAAGAGGTTGATTTATGAATTACGGTTGCTTGCAAGGAAGCAGTGGAATAATTTACCCATGAGCTGCCTGTAGTGGGGAAGACTGCGCTTATTGGAAGATAGACCTCTTTTTATACTTCAGTAGCTCTGTTAGACATCCTGTGATTTAAGAGGTCATTTACTAAAAGGTGAGCAGATTTAATGCATTTGGCTGAGAAGTGAACACACTGGAATACTGCACAGTGTGAAGAGCACTTCGATAAAACACCTTGAATTACTGCACTTGATTGTTGTACAAAGCAAGGTATTTTTGTGAGTGGAATAATTTTATTTAGAAATATTTTTATATGACAACAGTGAGCACTAGGATTTAACCCTCTCTGAGCTATTGTTTTGAGAAGAAACAGTGGCTGAGGATCCTTTCAAGATTGAATGTTGCAGTTGATAAGAAGTGGTGTAACCCCCCCTTTTCCTTCCTTGATAACAATGTGCTTATAGACCTTTTCTGTTGTAAGAGGTCTAATTTATGAACATAAGTGATATAGGCACGCAGATTTGGGAGTGCACCTTGTGCATATTACCTCATATGTGTTGGGAATCTTACTGAAGATAGAATTCGAAGACATTTTCTGAATGGTTTGGACTTTTGTGTTTTGGGACTATTATATGAATTTATGACATAGTTTTTATGCAGTTTTATCTCTTTTGGCAAGTATAAGGTATAGGTATTTATTCTAATAGAGTTTTTAGTGTCATGCTATTTTTTTACTTTTGAACTTGGGTGTGTAATGCTTTCTAGTGTTGGCTAGCTTTCATTAGTTTAGGCATAGTTTCTTGTATTATAACCCTGTGGATAACTGCACTCATTGCCAAGGCGACCGCCCAAGCAGGATCCAGTGTCTGAATCAACATTACAGGCAATCTCCACAAAGTGGGGTACGTTATGTTTGGCAAGGTATTACTAAGGTTGCATTTATCTGGATGCTCTGCTTCTACTGTTACTGTAGAAGGCAGTGTAGATTTGACTGTATTGATTGAAGAATTGAAAGTAAATATGAACTAGTTAGGCATTGAAATGTCTGCAAAAAGGGAGAATAGGTCAGTCACCTATAGGGCACTAACAAAAAAAATGGAGATTTCATGAATTGGGGTATGGTTATTGGGGTATGCCCAGGAAGGCATGTCCAAAGGTTTTGCCAGTGTAGGGTCTAATCACTTGAAAGTAGCAGCCCATAACCCAGGGTGTATAAATATCCATGTCCTGCACTGCATGATTAAGATATACATCTGTACCTATACAGTACTAGATGATCCTCTGTAATACATTATACAAACTGTATAACCACCTGTGAAGTACGAAATTACGAGCTGGCACTCCTCTAAAAATTTAGCCTTAAAATGCAGCACATCAGTCTTAGGTGTGGTGGCGGCAAATTCTGTTGTTCTGGGTCAATGTATGAAAGAGCTGGTGCCAATGCCAGCCTGAGCAACTAACCTTTTCAGAAGGAGGTCAAGAATGGCAGTCCCTCTTTCTAGGGTAATCTGAAGGCTTTAGTTAATTCATTTTTTAAATTGTAACCAATGCAAAAGACAGTGAGGCTGCTTTACTAAAGGATTTGAATGTTCACATTACTTATCCAGGCATATGAAAAGCAAACTCCTGTTTTATTTATTTCATCTGCACATGATTGAATAACTGAAGTGAATATTCGCACAATTTTATTGAAAGAACATTTTCAAATCCTTTAATAAATCAGCCTTAGGGTAAGCAATGATGCACAAAAAGTCCAAGTGTGCACTATTGGCAAAAAAGGTGCACATAACTGTCCACAGAAAAGTGAAACAATTTTTATTGTTCTGTGCACTGCACACTTGCATCAACCCTAATCCTGGCATTCAACAGATCAGAAAGTACAGGCAGAACAATCCTCACCAGATACAATGTCTCTCACATTAGTGCCCATACAGTAAAGCAGATTATTTTACCTGATGATTCACACATTGCTTGTAATGATTTGTCTATATTTATACTGGCCTTGGTACTGTACTTTCAAGATTCAGAAATTATATAGTGTATGGAACAGCTCCGTCTTCTACTAGGCCCTCGCAAAAAGTCAAGGTTGAAAACATATTGGAAACATCTGAACTTTTTATGCACCTTATGGCTACAGATTTACAAACCTACCTATGAAAGAGCTGCCCATAATCACCACATTTTTGCCTCCAGCTTCTTCGCTGACTGCTGTGGCATCTTCTGGAGATCGCAAAGAAAACACATTTTTCAGTGTAGAGCCAGGGCACTGAAGTTCTCTTGGTCTGAACATAAATGTAAGAAAAATCAAACTGTAGCTAGTAGCACAGCTGTAGACAAGTGGTCAAATAAATCAGTGGATTGCCAATACAATGTACAAAATGATGTAAAAGACGGAAAATCGATTCAATTTACTTAAAAATGGATTTGTAGCCATCTAAAAGTGCCAGGTACTGCATCTGGAAGACTATTTTTTTTCTAAAGATTTAAATGTTAATTTACCTTTTACTGAACTGGCTCTTGCCAAGCCATTTGGCCGTGGAGCAGTAATACAACACTGGTCTTGAGAAAGAATTAGGGAAATGACACTGGCCATGTTCTGCCTACTCTGTAATGCCCACTCTATGATCCCCACTCTATGATCTGTAAATATAATGTTGCAGAGGATGAAATGGGGGTATGTCAGTGGCTGCACTGTTCTTTCTCACCGGATCTTGAGCACATAGTGGTCACAGACACTCCCTGCTGCTTTGCATGGTTTGTCAATAGGGGAATTGCAAGTAACATAAAACACAAAATCACAGATTTAAACATATTTTCCATAATGAAATATAGAATACTTTGGCATGTGAAATGTGAATAGGCATTGGACTAGCTGGCTCATTAAAGTTAGTGGTTTGAACCCAAAGTATGAGGAGGGCGTTTTTTTAGGTCAGTCCTTGCCTGTTGAACTCCTGAGGGTACCAGTTAAAGTGCTGAATCTTCAGTATGGTGACATCAGTGTGCGGTGGAAGTTCAGCACCTTACACAAAGAGTCATATGAATTACTACCCAATTCATATGACTTTGTGTAAAGCTGTCCTCACCCACACCAGCAGAACAGAACGGATTATCAGAAAAATAAAAATAACTTTAATGGGTGTAAACAGATTAGTGCAAATCAGACATTTAAAATACTCAGTTCAGGAGCGTGGCCTGGCGCATGGAGGAATAGGATGCTGAGACCAGAGGCTCCCGCTCTGACTGGCTTTATCACCGGGCACAGCGCAACTTTCCGGCATTGCTCCGAGCACACATGGGCAAACGCAGCTGCAGTGAGGGTCGGAAAATCGGACGCTTGTTTACTAGATCCAGCTCGCGTAGCCAGGGTTCCCCGGCCTCCAAGATGGCGCTGGCCAGTTCCTCCGGACAGCATGCGGCATCACAGGTGAACACCAGACTCCGTACACAGTGACCTCAGAACTCTGACCATGGCTCGGTCCGCTCTAGAAGCCCCTATGTGACTAGGCTGGAATCCTCTTATAAACAAGAGATCACAGATTGCCGTAAAGATCTGGGCAACAGATTAGAAGAGCACATGGTGGAGGAGTCATTGTCTAAGCTGAATACATATGATGCAATACTTCATGAACACACCATTCACATAAAACAACTTTTCTATAGACCTGATGACCAAGAAAACAGAAATCGCCATAATAATATACGTATACGCGGTCTTCCTGAAACGATGGGAAACTAAAGATCTAGCTCCGGTGGTTATTGCCATCTTTAATCAGCTTCTACAACAGCCAAAAGATGCCCCTATGGAACTTGATCGAGTACACATGGCCATTGGCCCTCCCAACCTTAATCCAGCAGTCCTGAGGGATGTTATTTGCAGGATTCATTTTTACAAAGTTAAAGCGGATATAATGCAAGCTGCCCATTCTCAGGACTCCATCAATTTTAATGAAACACCGGTCATGCTTTTGTCAGACCTTTCCAAACAAACATTGGAGATGCGCAGGGCCCTGAAGCCACTTACTGAATCTCTGCAAGCTAAGTGGATTATCATTGGGGGCTTTCCATTTTAACGATCTGCTTCATTCGATGGTAAATCTGCGGTCTTTTGGCCTATGGGAGATCTTGCCAATTTTCTTGGGACTTTTGAACTGCCTCAAATACCCATCCCTGACTGGCCTCTCCAAAGCCTACGACTCCTGAGCTCCTGTTCAAGACCAGCTAGCAACCCCACCCCTAGAAAAAGCGTCCCCACTCTGCAACCTCTAAATCTCCGGCAGGTTGATTCCTGCCCCAGACGTCTTCTTTTTGCGATGTTTGTTGTTTCCAGCCCAATGGTTACCATGTTTACACCTAGCTCTTGAGGCGTATGCCGGACTCGATTTTGTGTGACTCTGATGCTGCAATCTATTTACACAATCTTTTATCCTTTTGGGTTTGTGTGTGTTCTTTTTGGAACCTATGATTTTGCAGCCATCGTTTTCGGGGTGCCGCTCCAGAGAGGGGCAGGTCTGTTTTTCCCACCTGCTTATGCGGATGCTCTACTCTTGGGGTGGTCTTGGAAGAGGATGGGGTTGGTGGCCCCCTCCAATTCCAATATTTACCCATTCGTTTTGTTATATGCCGGTCAGGGCGGGTTGCTCTGTGTGCAACCCATGTTCCCCACATTAGGGTTTTCAATGCCTCTTGCAATATTGATTTTCATGCTTAGCATAGTATTGTACTATGGGACCTTGACATTTGATCTTTCAACCTCATTGGATGTGAGATATGTTGCATGCACTACTCAGGTGTCAGTTGACGCTAAACACGCTATTAAAAATGTCCTATGATCGTTTTTCCATATTGATTTCCTTTTCCTCTTTTCTTTCTCTTTTCTTCCCTACTGCTATTTATATTCTATTGGTTTTTTTTTCTCATGTTCTGACTGAGCGCAGGGACTCCTTACGTTTGGCTGTTCTTTTACCTGCTGTACATTTAATATGGCGTCCTCCCTAATGTTAAAGGTCTCCTCCCTTAACTGTAGAGGGTTCAACACCCCTGAGAAACGCAGACAAATTCTCTATCAATTTCCACAAAGTTAAAACCCAAATTCTCTTACTTCAAGAGACGCACTATCGTTCAGGCTTCATTCCACCTTTAGTTAACAAGTATTTTCCTGTCTGGTACCATAGTACCAACTCTATGTCTAGATCCCAAGGGGTGGTCTCTATCACATTTCATCACTCATTTAACCCTGTGTCACTCAAGTATCAGACTCATCCATAGACCTGTCAGTTCGATACATCTTTTTGAAACTGAAATACAGGCATACCTCGGTTTACAAATTTAATTTGTTCTGTGGGACTTTTTGTATAGCGAAAAATTCGTAAACCGAAACGCCGTTTCGCATAGGAATGCATTGAAAACCAATGAATCCGTTCCGGAGGTCAGAAAAAAGTAAATGCTACTAAAATACCGCATGAGTTATTTTATAAAGTCATGCGGTATTTTAGTAGTTACAACCATGCTTAATGTTTCAGCTGTCAGCGGGGTTCCCCACTGACAGCTGAATGTAAAAGAAATGCCAGCAATTAAAAAAAATAAACAGCCAGCATGGGGTCCCCCCTCCCATCCATACCAAGCCCTTCGGGTCTGGTTTGGATTTTGAGGGGAACTCCCACACCAAAATTTTAAAAAAAAAATAGCGTGGGGGACCCCCCAAAATCCATAACAGACCCTTATCCAAGCATGCAGCCCTGCGGGTCATAAAAGGGGGTGGGGGGGGGCGAGCCATACCAGGCCACATGCCCTTAAAATGGGGGCGTGCTTTGGGGCAGGGGGACTCCCACCCCTCCCCCAATGCACCTTGTCCCCATATTGATGGGGACAAGGGCCTCTTCCCCCACTGTCCCCGCTGTGTGCACCGACCACCCGTGTTCCGAACTGCCCCGCTGTGTGCACTGATCACCTGTGTCCTAAAACTGTGCCTGCTGTGTGCACCGACCACCCGTGTTCTGAACTGTCCCTGATGCGTGCACCGGCCACCCGTGTTCCGAACTGCCCCACTGTGTGCACTGACCACCTGTGTCCTGAACTGTGCCTGCTGTGTGCACCGACCACCCGTGTTCTGAACTGTCCCCGGTGTGTGCACCAACCACCCGTGTCCTGAACTGTCCCCGCTGTGTGCACCGACCACCCGTGTCCTGAACTGTCCCCGCTGTGTGCACCGACCACCCGTGTCCTGAACTGTCCCTGTTGTGCGCACTGACCACCTGTGTCCTGAACTGTGTCTGCTGTGTGCACCGACCACCCGTGTTCTGAACTGTCCCCAGTGTGTGCACCGACCACTCGTGTCCTGAACTGTCCCCGCTGTGTGCACCGACCACCCGTGTTCCGAACTGCCCCGCTGTGTGCACTGATCACCTGTGTCCTTAACTGTGCCTGCTGTGTGCACCGACCACCCGTGTTCTGAACTGTCCCCAGTGTGTGCACCGACCACTCGTGTCCTGAACTGCCCCCGCTGTGTGCACCGGCCACCCATGTTCCGAACTGCCCCTGTGTGCATTGACCACCCGTGTCCTGAAATACCCCTGTTGTGCGCACAGACCACATGGGTTATGCACTGCCCTACTACACGCCTAGACTACCCTTACTTGAACCGCCCCATAGCGTGCCCAGAGTATAGCTACCTGTTGGAAAGCTGGATGGGAGCTGTGCTGAGGCCAGACTCCACAGCTAGAGTCCCGTTGAGTCCCCGAGGCCCCTGCCCAGTGGTAGGTTGTCGCCTATTGCCCGAGACCCCTGCCCAGGGGTAGATTGCAGCCTGTTGCCTGAGGTCCCTGCCCAGGGGTAGGTTGCTGCCCGTTGCCCAAGGTCCCTGTCTTCGAAATATGTAAAACCATTACAGAAAATCATTATAAAAGGATAAGAAACAAAAATAGAATCAATAGGACTAAGGAAAACAAATTAGAATACATAAAGATATGCCTAGCTAAAAATAGTGCTGTTTGTGAAACTCAGTTGATGGTCACGATTGCCGTCTTCCAGAGGACTCCACACAGAGATTTACTATTAAACACCATCTAAAAGAAAAGTTAAATTTTGTTCTGCACATGCGCATTTCTAATCAGTGCGTAGACGTTGGAAATGCGTCTATTTTGTGACAATCATGAGATAATTGGGAAAGCACATTTCAATGTGAACGTGTTTCTATAGGGATTTTTTGTTCCTTTAGACATGCTTCTAGGACGTCTACTTTTTTAGACTGATTCCTTTATTGTGTCCATTAGTAAATTCGTCATTG